CTGCTACTACTACTGTTACTACTAGTACCAGTAGTACGTATGAAGCACAGATGCGAAAACCCGCCAAAATCAGTTTGAGATTGGGTTCCCCGCGCAAGGCGCGCGGAAGGCGCGCGCAAGGGGCGCCTTCCAACTTCCACCAATCCCCCATCCCTTTTGTGTGACAGTCCTTAGCAGCATGAGCCCCAAATGTAAGCCATGGTCAAAGCTTGGGCAGCGCGCTCAACGTCAACTCCTTCAGGATCTCGCTGCTCTCATGGTGCCACATTGCGAAACAGCCACAGACGTGAGCCAGCTTTTGCATGCGCTCGGAGAGCGGGTCCGGCGTTCCAACGAATCTGTCGGACCCGTCACTGCCGACACTCAACACACAGCTACTCTGCTTCGAAACTTGGGGCAGGTTCGGCAACAGAATGAGCCGGCCTCCAACCACATGGACAACAAGACAATCAGCGTTCATCAACTGGACACTGCCGTGGTGCAAGCTGGGTTTGAGCGTGCCTTGCTGCAGGAGCACGGCTACACACTCGGAGTGGTCAGATACCGCAAGGCAGCATCTTCCGCTTTGGGATCTGGTAGCACACCTGGGGAAGCTAAGCCTCTGGGAGGCCGCCCTAGTGTCGTCAATGATTCGGATGTTCGGAACGCAGTGGGAGCAGTGCTGAAACGGCATACTATCGACTCGGAAATGGTAGTGGTTGTCGGCCGTGGTCCTCGCCGTAGATTGGTATTAGCAAAGCACCTGACAAAAACTCTTGGTCGTATTTGGAACGAGGACGAAGAGCTTCGTAAGCAAATCAGTTCGTGCAGCTTCAGGCGCATTGTGAAACGTCATTTTCCTCACATTCGAAGGCCCCGTCGTGAAACAGATGTTTGTGAGCATTGTCGTCATTTGAACAAGAAGCTGTACCCTGCTGCCAAAAAGGCCATGTCCAAACATCGTGGTGCTCTGGAGGCACTACTTCCGAGCTATTTCCATGCTTTTGACAACAATCCTCAGATAGCGAGGAATCAACAGACTCGGGAGAGTGGGGATGACTTGGCTCGCTTCGTCCGTTACATAAACTGCCGCAACGCAAGAGCCTCCAACGATGAGGATAGAGCTCCATTGAGCGGAATGACCCGGTTGTCCTTGCATCAAGCCGAAGCTCGCGCAGTTCACAAACTCAAGCCTCATGTTGACATTGTGAAGGCGTACGAGTGGCACCAGATCACAGCCAGGCGTCAAGGAGCTTATCTACAATCTCTGCGTGATGGTCAGCTACCGTCCACTGCTTGCCTCATTCAAACGGACTTCAAAGAGAACGTCAAGTTCCCGCTGGGCCCTTCTGAAACTTCTGAGGAGTGGCACGCACAGGGAAAGATGTCCTTATCTGTGTTTGGAGCACATGTTTTGGCCCCGCGACGTGGCACTGGCAACCCATGCCACATTGAACTCTTTGTTGTGTTGGTCTCCGAGGTGCTAGACCACGACGCACAGGTTTCCACCATGTACACCAACACTGTCCTTGCAGCTGTGCAGAACCACCCAGACGTGGAATGGTCTCGGCTGACAAACATCATCTTCGCGGCCGATTGTGGCCCACACTTTCGTTCCAAAGAGAACGTGGCGCACTACTGCGTTACTCTCCCGAAACTGCTTGAAAAGCCTGTTGAAGTGTGCTGGCTCGGAGAGCAGCATGGCAAGTCTGGGGTGGACCGATGTTTCGGATGGTGCAACATGTGGATAGGTGAGCACATCCAGCGTCATGTCATTCATTCGATTGACCACCTGTTGGATGCGTTTCGCCAAGGCTCCACTCGTATGCAAACGGAGGATCCTGAAGGTGCACGCTTCATCGTACAGAAGTTCGATCCTGGCACACACCGTCCATCTGAACGCAGTTTCTTCAAAAGCTCTGGCTTCAAAGTCACTCGGACGTATTCTTTGGTTGGTTCCCCGTCCAGGTTCACAGACGTCGGCGTCAGCATTCGGAACAAACATTTTTCGGACATGCCAGGGCCTGGTGACCTGATGAACTTTGAGATTGAGACCAAAACAGGGCAGTCCCAAGAGTGGCGTCGAGCGTATTATGACAAACCTAGAGCTTGGGAACTACCGGGCCCCCAACCTGGAGATCAGAATGCCATCACAAAGCGTTTCCAAGAACAACAAGAATTCGCGACTGATGACATGCCTCTTCCTCGCCGCACTTTCCTGGAAGCTTGCTCCGCGAAGGCTTTGTCTTTGAGTCGAGCTGCAACGAAAAAGCGCCGCAAACATGCCAAGCTCACAAAGAAGTCCTCGTCCAGCAGTGGCAGTAGTTCTACGTCGTCATCTTCGACATCTTCCTCGACCTCGTGATATGTCCACTGCGCTCACCACCCGCGATGGCCATGCTGCTACCGATTGAAGTGCTGCGCACGCATCACCCAAAAATCCTAGAAGTTCCCGGTTCTGATTGGAAATTCACTACCCTAAAGGTCGGAGGGTTCGGATTGGAGTAGTGCCCAGAGCCAATCGTAATTGCTCCTGGAAGTATGTAGACTAGTGTGAGCAGGCCTAGAAATACAGTCGGCAACAGTCCTCCACCAGTCCAAGGATCAAATTCTGCAATTAAATGCTCTGCGTGGATTTAGGAACCCACCCAGGTCCCTACCCCTAAGGCTTTTTATTGAATTCCTGCTGCACAGGGGTTCCATCTGTTGACATTCTGACCGCTGGCGACTCTTCCAATACTAATGTTGTACTACAATCACAACCGGCCGTAGCCTGACAGACCCACTTGCAAGCCAATCCGGGCTCAACTGCCCTTCGTCACCCAAAAATCTCGATTCTTGCTGGGAAAACGGCCCTAAGATGCCCTTGGGCACGTCAGTACTCAAGCACCAGGTTGACCATCACTCTCACTGTTACGATCACCATCGTCATCCTCATCATCACCACCTACTAAACTTGTACTACAATCAAGCACAATCCAGGCAGCATCCGAAACGAGGCACTGCCAGTCTCATGCTGTGCAACAATCAAGCACAATCCAGGCAGCATCCGAAACGAGGCACTGCCAGTACTAAGCTTGTACTACAATCTGCCCGAATGCCCTTGCTCAGTCAAAAATCTCGATTCCGGATGGGGAACCGCAAATCCCGAAATCTGCCCGGTTGCTCAAAAGTCTCGATTCGAACCTGCCCCATTGCCCTGGTCAGTCAAAAATCTCGATTGCGGATGGGGAACCACGAGCCCGCCTGACCACCCGCTTGCAAGCCAGTCTAGGCCCAATTGCTTTCGGCCACCCCAAAATCTTGATTTTTGCTTGGGGAACAGCCCAAAAACACCCCCGGGAATTGAGCCCACAGACATTCCCGGGAAGGCCTACGAGGCCGCGTGCCTTGCCACTGCGCTGTAGCCGCCATCGGCAACT